TTGGACCAGAGATGCTCGTTTTGCGCCAATATATAAATCACATTTGAACAATTATTTCTATTCCAATTTCTTTTTTAATGAAAATCTGATATTAAATAATCTGATAATTAATTTTTAAATTGCCGCCTCAACCTGTTAATATAAAAATGACCAATGAGGGTTGAATTATTTGATTTTGAAAGCTTTAAAACGAATGATCCTTGTGTTTAGCTTTTTAGTCATCTTGTGTCAGCAAGTGTTTTTAACTTAACCAACGTTTTAACTTGCCCAGCTTTTTTAACTAAACCAGTGTTTTTAGCCATTTTCATTGACCATTGAGTTTCTCCTTTCGTCCATCTTCCTTTTAGTGTGCCATCATCCCCGACATGGATAAAGACATTTCCGAAATTACCGATAAATGGAAAAATATGAACCAGACGCACATTGATACAGATGAAAAAATCGGACCCTACCTTGACAAGTACTTCATGAAATACAAGAAAACGATTTATGACAGTGCTCTATCATTATTCTATGCTTTGGATACCCGCAATTTAAGAAAGTCACATAAACACGAACCTATCAGTATTCAAGCGTTAAAATGCTTCAAAGATTTTGTGGATAGAAACCAAGCAACTATAGAGGAAGCGTTTCTGGAACAGAAAGTAATTTTGCCGGCCTGTCAATTCGCAATCTATAGAGAAAGTGAAACTTGGATCAGCACAATCTGTAAATATTATCATGTGGAAAGTTTACCTAAGGCGGATAGGATTCGTTTGCTTCAGAAAACGGTTAATGAGAAAAAATTTTCATCTGCAGCATGGTTTGCTATATATGCTAAGGTTATTCGTGAATTTAATTTACAAGATATTTATGTCCCTTTGATATGCCAAACTAGAATCAGTGTGGTTGAACAATTGATGAAACAAGATCCAGCTATCGCTCAGGATGTTGTTGCATGTATGGATAAATATATTGATAATGCAGGAGAGTTGGCGTCTTTTGCTCGAGATATTCCTGGCGCTAATTTTTGCCTGCTCAATGATAAAGGAATAGCTAAATTTGCTAAACGTTTGGCTCGAGAGTATAAAGTCCCAATACAAATTTGCCCCAGAATAGATTACAATGCTAAAATGAATGCCATTAAATTCCTTTTCAGGCGAAGGTACGAACAGGTAAGTGTCCTTTATTCAAGGTCTTTATGTATTTTTATCTGATCTGTTCTCGGTTCTAATCTATTGATTACAGCGCAAACCTATGGACAAAAGGACTTGGGAAACAATGATAGATTCAGTGTTTGACCTGGATAGTCCAGCATCAGAGGACAATAATCTTGTACTGGAGCTAATTTATGACCTTACTAACTATCAACAATACGAGGAAGCTAGACGTTTGGCTCATTTACATCGTATACCAGAAAACAAGTGGCCAAAGTTACTATTAAGTAACCGTTCTAGTCCTGACAGACCTTTATCTAGACTTGGTAGTGGGAAAATAATTTCCGATCGGAATCCAAAACTTGTTTCAGTTGAACCTGAAAAATATTCAGTTGACTTGCCAGATGATAAAATTTTTTATATCAATAGTCATGAGAAATTTAAAGAAATGAACTCTTATATTACTAAAGTAAGTATGATCATTAAATTTCAATATTCATTTCAAATATTCTACTAAATTGGTTTATTCAGCATCCATTATTAGCTATCGATACGGAATGGAAACCGAAGCTGGGCTTACTCAATGAATGTAATCCAAAAGCAGCGCTAGTACAAATCGCCTGTCAAGATCGGATTTTTGTGGTCGATGCAGTTGAACTGTGTCGGGATAGTGAATGGGCCACCTTTGTCAATGCGATCATCAATAACCCTAATCTCATCAAATTAGGATTCTCGATCCATAACGATTTACGAGCTATTTCTGAATTGATTGCTGACATGAATATCGAAACCAAACCAGAAAGTTTTATTGATTATGCGCAATTTCATAAATCACTCGTACAAGCGTTCAAAATACCTTTACCTGATTATCCTGCTTCATCTGGAGGTTTATCCAAGTTAGCTTATACAGTTTTAGGTAAATATCTCGTCAAAGATGACCAATACACCAATTGGGCGATGAGACCTCTCACTACTGATAAAATTATTTATGCCGCAACTGATGCATACGTATTGCTGGAAATTCACGAAAAACTTGAAAGCTGGTGTCAAGAAAGAGCAATTAACTACGAAGTTTTAATGAAAGCGCTCCTGAAAAAGGACTCGACGAAAAACAAAGTTAACATAAAATAAATTATTCTTGCGAAAGCAATGTGATGTTAAAATACAATGTAATTTAACCAAAAACAATTTAGACAAGACAATAAAAATAATTTTAGCGATTTTGGATAAATATTTTATTTCTTTTATTCGATATTGGTGTCAAAGCATTTGGTTGGTTAAAATAAATATAAACACGAAAAAGTCTGATTCAAACCCAAATTCACTTAATTGTTAAATTATTTTAAAAATTCAAGCTGATTAATTTTCAGTTCTCGTAGGTTATTAATATTTTTAAATTAAGATGAGGAACCTTCAATTTGAAACATAGATTTTGACTTTTCGTATCAAAAGCAGGTAAGTCAGGCGAAAGGTCCGTAAAGTCTATTTTCCGAGCAAAGCCACTTACTCTGGTTCAGCGCAAGACTGGTGGCAGCTGCTTTAACTTAACTTATAATTTTAATTTTTAACAATTAACTTGATTTAAAGTCAAATTTAATTCAATTTCATTAAAACAGAAGCATTTTAAGCACCTTAAACAGCAAAATCAAGTCAATCTACTAACAAATTCAAGCCTTTCATCAGATTAATTCCAGAACAACTTGATATTTTTTCGATATCTTTCATCAAACATTCATCAAGTCTTTCCGTCGCAGATTTATCTGACCCAGCTAAATTAGTCAT